GTTACTTGGTGCAAAATATCCGTGCATGATTTCGAAAACAAATAATTAATAAATCCAATTACGCTGAAGGATTCAGTGTACATGTACTATAAACATGGATGGCCTATCTTCTTGAAACTTGCACTTTAACTGTGGTGAATGTAAACATATTCCAAGTATATGTAAATATTTGTTTTACAAATGCGCGGTGGAAAAGGTTTGAAAGCACTCCGCGTGTCTGCTTGCTTGAGTTCACTGAGCGAGGGAGGGATTAGCAGTAGCTATGAAGCCGCTGACATAACCTTCACCTTCCTTGCCACACGCAAACCTTTCCCTTCGCACGAACAAAGCCATTCCCGAGGTCAGTGGAAAGACAATCAAGATTTCGAGAAACTTAGAAACATTTAGCGAATGGAAATTCAGTGTGCTCATCATTATGTTAGTGTTGCGTGTTTACAACTTTTAGAAATCAAATAATACAGTACAAAATAAAACAGGCCATTACAGAGGAGTATTTAATTTGAACCGCAAAGGAAGTTGGAAAAATCTCGCTGAGCAGAGTTTTTTTAAAACGTGACTATTAATATTAAGCTATTTATACACGATTAGTATACGAAGAGGCTCTTACATTCATAACACACATATAGTTTATATTCGTAGTTTCCTGAGCCAGCAGAATTTGTAAGCGAACTATGACAGCAAAAATGTTAATTTTTGTTGTGTTATTCTGCCTATTCTCGTACTGCGCTTACCGACTAAATTCCCATACTCAGCTTACGACACAGCTGAAGTCATGCGATAATAATGCTTCAGTGAAAAGGCCGCTTGCCACGCCTCGCTATTTAGGTTCTGCTTTGTGGAACAGCAACTCTTTTGGTACTCTTGGTAAAAGTATGGTTGAACTACGAATACCAAGCTTCGTTATTGCGGTAATCATGAAGGCTTTGTATCAAACTATGCAATTTGTTGCAGTTTCGTATACGCGAGTATTTCAACAGTTGTTATTGAGTAGTGCGAGTGCTACACTTGGAAAACTATTGTAACGAGTCGACATTATAGGTGATATTTGATCCATATTTGGCATCAAAATGATATGTGTATGCACGGCCTACTGGGATAAAAATACAGGCTGGTAATGGTTTTGTTGTCATGAAAACGTCGACTTAACGACAGAATTAACAAGCAGATGGGCGTTTCCGAATGGGGACGTATTGTGATTTATAGATCATTTGAGTCGGAGTGGCGTAAATCAGTGGTGAATTTGAAAGTACGAAATGTAATGTGATATTGGAGGCCAATTGATCGAGGATAATAATACGGAAACGTAAATGAACTAGAATATTTGGGACAGTCGATAGTTAAACGGTACATGTGGAATTTGATATAAAGAAATTACTGTTGGTTATTTGAAAGCTGAAGAAAGTAAACCTAGGTACTACTGTTCTTTACATTTGTGGAACTGATTAAATGTTGTATTGTTCTTTTCAGTTTGCAAACAATAATTTACCAAGTTTTTTGTTATTATTAAAAATTAATTTTCTCTTTTTATTTTGAAATTGAAAGTTTTTTGCGTTGAATATTTCAATAAATTACCATATTCCAATCTATAGTGAATGTCACAGAATCATCAGCTATTAATAAATAATTAAATGGATATTTATATATTCCCCAATAAGTGCATTTTTGATGACACATTTATCGTATCGGCCATTCCTGACCACGCTACATGAGTAACTTGTATAACTATGGGGAAAAGCATTTTACGGCAGTATCCCTTGATAAGACAAGGTTCTTACGCCTTGAATAGTGAATTATGAGGAGATGATGATGATGATGATGAGGGGTGAAGGGACAATCACAAATACGGCCATGCCTACAAAGGACTCGAACCTGCAACCTCCTCGGTGCAGACGACGGCTGCCGCAACCGTCTGCGTTAAGAGGTTGAATATATTATTATTATTATTATTATTATTATTATTATTATTATTATTATTATTATTATTATTATTAAAAATAATATTTCAATAGTACACATACCTTTTGAGGCTTTCACACCTATCTGATCTATGTAAATGAGGTCACTAAAGGAAGAGAATTTCACGTAAACGTGATTAATTGCACTTTTGCTTAAAAAATATGACGTATTTGTTAAAAAAACTTATCCAAATATTCATGTTAAATGCAGTCACTCAGATATGTCGTTAATTAACTCCTAAACTAAGCGTTCTAGGGCCTTAATAACTAAAGTTTTGAGCCCAAAGGCAGCAAAGAATCGTTCCTCACGTTGTAGTTTATAGGACGAAATATTCTTGCCCATTCAATTAAATTTTTGCTGGTTCGGCACTTATCGATACCATCAATGCCACCTACATTTTAACTCTTGATGATGGTGGCCATTTTTCTGACGTCACGTTTAGGAGACTGAGATTCCTGTATCTTATGAAATTTACGCTTTCTGTATACAGCATGGATTGTGTGGACTTACGAGGTTTACAAGCATAATTATTATTTCAAGATTCGCTCTCGCAGCAACAACTACAAGTACTATTAATAGTTGCTTGATTTCGACGATGATTGTTTCCTATGAGTGTTGTGAAAATTCATTAAACGTTTTGTCGTGGTCTACAAGTGTTGTGTAGCTAATTGGTGAGGGACGTGTGTATACAGTGCAGAATGAAGACGTATGTTGTGAGATTTGGTTACTTTTTTACCTGCACCAGTATTTCCTTTATCAGCAGTAATTCGGTTAAACTTTTAAGTAAGTCAAACTTTCAATCACGTAGCTTCCTCAATTGTTAAAAAATATTTTTGTGGTTATTATGAAAAGAGAAAAGCTGTCAAAGAATATTGAATAATTACTTCAAATATTTTCAAGGAAGTGTTGCGAATTATTCCAAGAAATCTCTCGATATTACTGGATAAATCTTTACTGAAAATTATTTTCAACATCAATTACATTGTTTTTTAATTTTGGATACTGTGTTCTTACATTAGAAGTTACCTTTATACCTATTTAAAAAAATAAATATGTCTCGTTAATAACTTTCAGTCTTAAAATGGAAGGATAGGGAAGAGTGTGGGGTTTAACATGTGAGAGTTTCTGCATGGGTTCGCAGGGATGATAGTGGAAAACGTGTGCTATGACACAACACAAAGAACACACTTTTTAAATTAACTAAAGTAAAATGGCTTGAAAGAAATGAACAACAAAAATCAAAACGTGCTAGCCTACAATTCTACCGGAAAGAATTCCAAAAAGTCAATCAAATTTAAAATTATAGAAAGAATAACGCAAGTCACTCGACAACTGCTAACGATCACAATTCAGACGCACGATTTAAATGTTGGCAGTATCTAAAAGTCTGTACACCAATGCCTAGCTGTAAACTCATATTGAAAGTAATAAACCGTTTGCTATTAAACTTGATGTCGGTTCTCCAAGATATTTAATAAGTAAACATCACTTGAGCAACATTCTCACGTATGGAAGTGACGTCTAAGCCTACTGAATTGTTTATAATGGTAACAAATTATATTTATTAATCAAAGGTGATTATATATGTTTTATTATTTTTGGCTCGGAATTGCTTTTCATGAAGCATGTAAGAACGCAGAAAATAATGCAATACATTTTAGTATATAAATAATTTTTCAATTTTCTCACCCTTGCATGCTGGCGCCCTACCAATTTCATTGTTTTTATTTTTGTTTGATATTTTCTGTAAGCACGAACATTTATACATTTTTTAACAAATAAACACGTTTCATTAACAACTTTCCTTCTTAATGGGAAGGATAGGTAGGAAACGCTTATTATTATTATTATTATTATTATTATTATTATTATTATTATTATTATTATTATTATCATCACCGTCATGCGGACCTGGATGGCTGAGGTAGCCAAGAGCTTGTACAAACTCAGCGCTTCTGTCCGAAGGGTCGCGGTTGGTTAGTTGTCCTTTGTCTCTTGTGTATTTGTTATCGAGGAGGGCCACGCGTTCTGCTGACCCCAGATCAGAGGAGCCCGCACTTGTGTTGGTGTCAAGGTCTAGTGTGCGGTGGAATATGCGTCCCATCGGGACATAAAGGACTACCGACCATCAGCGGACAAAAACCAAGGGGGAAATATTACCATCATTATCCATAGATACTAGAAACGGCCGTTTGTCCACATGCCATTATCTCGACTATTCCCTCCACGGTCGATCAATTTGCTCTTGGAAAAGAGTTGCCCAAGAGGCCGCACTGCTGCGAGCGCCTGTGCTGACCAGAGAGGGAACCAGAGCTGCGCAAGCCGAGCGCCGAGCTCTCCTTAGCCTCCCCCGCGCTGCGACGAGTGTACGTGCTCCGCATTATATTCCTCACTTAGAAGGAAAGAGATGAAGAGAACTCACTGATGGAACAATGCATATTTCTTAGGACACATGCATCAGGACATTCTTCGCCTAAACATAGCATTACTATCACAACGTTTAAAATTTTTATTATATCACTCTAAACTCAACTGAAGGAAACTTTTGAAATATACACACTAAGGAAAATCCTCGCTTGTCAACACATCCGCCGTCTTCCGCCGTCAGACCTTACGTAAATACAAACATGAAAGTAGGAAATCCATAACTATGCGGAATTCGCACTGGTGCATGAGTGTATATGGATGAGTACAAACTACGATGTAGTGAAGACCGTGTCAGAATTGCGAAACCAAACTAACCTACTGCCGCCGAGAAACTAAGAGTGAAGGTGCGAGAGGAGGGAGAGAGCACGAAGGGAGGGTGGAAAGGGGATGGAGTGAGGGCGAAGTGAGGGGGAAGGGACGAGGAGGGGCGAAGGAAGGACGGAGTGAGAGCGCGGGGATGGGCAACGGCGCTGGCGTGGATCGATCTGCGGCCCGTTTTATTTGCGCCCGGGGAGGAGCGGGGC